AATTTTTTTTTTAAATGTCATTGTCAATTTTAATTGGGTTTGTTCGGGATATTCTATTTAATTTTTTTTTTAAACTTTTGCATTATGTGTTTCTTTTAATGATGTACGCCGCCCTGAGTCCTTGGGAGAAGGGCGGCATATAAATCTAATAAACCTAGACCTAAATCCCCGTTCCATCCACCTCCTTTTTTTTTAAATTGAGCAAAACTCCCGTGTTGGGTGTTGCTGGTCTCCCCCACCTGGCAGGTGCAGTTTTGGGCAGAGGTGAGATTGCTCCCCAAGAACCTCAGCCGTCACAGGGGTCCATTTCTGGGGGTCCTTCTGGAACAGGGTGTGTGTGGCAAAAGTATGGTGTGTCTGCACGGGTGGGGGGCGGGCAGGGCAGCCCAAAGTCCCGGGATCTCCACCCCATCGGATAGGAGGAGCCTAATCTTCCTGTGTGTCTTTCATTTCTAGGGGGGCCTCAGGATGGCCTTGGCGGACAATGCCAGGCTGAGGGAGGGCTCAGTTTTCCCAGAGATCGTGGAGCTGAACGTGGGCGGGCAGGTCTACCTCACCCGCCACAGCACCCTGCTGGGCGTGCCCGGCTCCTTCCTCTGCGACCTCTTCAGCCAGCAGAGCGCTCAGTCCTTAGCCCGGGATAGCAAAGGACGCTTCTTCGTCGACCGGGATGGTTTCCTCTTCCGCTACATCCTGGACTACCTGAGGGACCGGCAGCTGGTGCTCCCGGAGCGCTTCCCCGAGCGGAGCCGCCTGCAACGGGAGGCCGAATTCTTCAAGCTGCCTGAGCTGGCCAAGAGCCTGGCGCCCAAGATCAGCAAGCAAGACTCGCTGGGCGAGGAGCCCTGCGCCAGCGACCCCGAGGAGTTCTCCCCCAGCACAGAGGCCGTCCGCACCCTGGGGGCGGCTGGCGCAGGCTTGGCCGGCCCCCCTGGCAGCTCCCTGACCCCCGTGGCTGGAACCGGTGGGGGGCAGGAGGCCCGACGGTCTGGATTCATCACCATCGGCTATCGGGGCTCCTACACACTGGGGAGAGACAGCCAGACGGACGCCAAGTTCCGGCGCGTGGCGAGAATCATGGTGTGTGGAAAGACCTCTCTGGCGAAGGAGGTCTTCGGGGAGACCCTTAATGAGAGCAGGGACCCTGACCGTCCCCCCGAGCGCTACACCTCCAGGTACTACCTCAAGTTCACCTTCCTGGAGCAGGCCTTCGACCGACTGGCCGACGCTGGCTTCCACATGGTGGCCTGCAACTCCACTGGGACCTGCGCCTTTGCTCACGAACAGACGGACGACAAGATCTGGACCTCGTACACCGAGTACGTTTTCCACCGCGAGTGATCCTCAAGCCCCAGCAGAACCGAAGCGCCACAGCCGCTGAACCCTCCCCAATGCTCTGCTGATGCCGATTTCATTCGAGATGCCCTCGGACTTTGAGTCTCTCCCCTCCCGTGTTGCCAGCCTGAAGCCCAGCAGCTCCCGAGGGATGCCAATCCTCCTGCCCCTACCACAGCCCTCCTGGGAGCATGGAACGGCTGGAGGAGGAGGATGGCGTGCCTGGGGGGGGTGGACTGGGCTCCCTGCAGGATTGCGCAGCTATGCTCTCTCGGCTCTTGCAAAGCAAAAAGACCGAGGAGGGGGGGGGGGCGGCTTCATTGCGCAACCTCACAGGGGCACTTGGTAGCCTTTCAATGAACCAAGTTGGGAAGGACCTGACTGGACCCTCAGACCCTCGCCGGGCATCCCGCTGCCAACGCTTTCCCCCGTCACCCCTTTGAGCAGCTGTGCCCCTGGGGTGCCAGGGCTTTTGAATGGCAACAGAGCCAAAAGCACTAAAAAAACAACCTTGCCTCCTATGCCCACCTGGCACGGCTAAATATACCCGTTTCCCTTGATTGAAGTGGAGGGGGGGGGTGACTGCGACCTCAGTGCCCAGTTTGAGGAGGTGCCAGGGGTCACGGGGGCAGTGGGTGTTTTGCACACTCAAAGCCTTGCTCACTTTCTAAAGTGCCATCTAAACTTTCTGTTAGAAATAAGGAGATTTGTGGGGAAGGGAATGCAGGGGCCACGCCCATCACCCAGCATATAAGCAGGGCACATTCACCAGCCTGGGGATGCTTCTGGTGGGGGGAGAGGGGGGGGTTGCCTGGCAGAGCCCCACATATAAGAGGCCACGTTAGGGTTGCAGAAAGCCTTTGCTTCAGGAGGGGTTTTTGCTCCTAGCTGGAAGGGAGGAGGGCCGTCTCAGGTGGGCGCCGGCAAAAGCCCCAGGTGCTTAACAGCTGCCCACAGATGTTTTGAGTTACAGAGGTGGGAAGGGGAAACCTACAGGTGAGCCTTGTCCCAGGTGGAGGCCAGCAAAACTCTGCACGGTGTATTTTGAGCTGGTTGCTGCTGTCGCCGGATGAGGGGCCAGGCGTAATAAAAGGAGCGAAATATTCTTGGCGCCTGTCTCCTTCTTAATCAATCAGTGGGCTGGATGAGGAGGCTGTTGGCCAAAGGCAGCAGGGGAGCCAGGGGGGCTTCCCAAGAGGAGGGTCTCCCTCCTGCCATGGAAAGACTGACAGTGTCACCAGGGGATCCTCTCCTCTGGAATGGCCCAAGCCTTGGTCTGCAGAGGTCGCCCAGGAGCCCTTCGGTCTCTCTGTTCTGTCTCCCTCCTTCCCTCTCCCTCCCTCTCTCTCTCTGTCTCTCTCCCTCTCTGTCTCTCTCCCTCCCTCTCTCTGTCTCTCTTCCTCCTTCTGTCTCTCTCCCCCTTATCTGTCTCTCCCCTTCCCTCTCTGTCTCTCTCCCTCCCTCTCTCTGTCTCTCTCCCTCTCTTCCTCCTTCTGTCTCTCTGTCTCTCTCCCCCCTTATCTGTCTCTCCCCTTCCCTCTCTGTCTCTCTCCCTCCCTCTCTCTCAGTCTCCCTCTCTCTGTCTCTCTCCCCCTTCTCTGTCTTTCCCCTTCCCTCTCTGTCTCTCTCCCTCCCTCTCTCTGTCTCCCTCTCTCTTTCTCTCTGCCTCCTTCTCTCTCTCCCCCTCCCTCTCTGTCTCTCTCCCTCCCTCTCTCTCCCTCCCTCCCTCCCTCCCTCTCTCTCTCCCTCCCTCTTTCTCTATCCCTCTCTCTCTTTCTCTTTCTCTCTCCCTCCTTCTGTCTCTCCCCCTCCCTCCTTCTCTGTCTCTCTCCCCCTCCTTCTCTGTCTCTCCCCCTCCCTCTTTGTCTCTCTCCCTCTCTCTGTCTCTCTCCCTCTCTCTCCCTCCCTCTCTCTCCCTCCCTCTGTCTCTCTCTGTCTCTCTCTTCCCTCTCTCCCTCCTTCTGTCTCTCTCTCCCTCTGTCTCTCTCTCCCTCCTTCTCTGTCTCTTCCCTTCCCTCTCTGTCTCTCTCCCTCCCTCTCTCTCAGTCTCTCTCTCTTTCTCTCTCCCTCCTTCTCTGTCTCTCCTTCTCTGTCTCTCTCCCTCCCTCTCTCTCTGTCTCTCTCTGTCTCCCTCCCACTTTCTCTCTCCCTCTCTCTCTTTCTCTCTCCCTCCTCTGTCTCTCCCCCTCCCTGTCTCTCTCCCTCCTTCTCTGTCTCTCTCTCCCTCTGACTCTCTCTCTGTCTCTCTCCCTCTCTCTCTCTGTTTCCCTCCCTCTTTCTCTCTCCCTCCTTCTATCTCTCCCCCTCCCTGTCTCTCTCCCTCCTTCTCTGTCCACTGTGGGGGGTGGTAGAAGGGAAAGTGGTGCCGGAGGGGGCTTTTAGCCAGCCTCGCTTGCCTGCCTCATGGTTAAAGGCCTTGCTGGAGCTGTTCAGGGTCTTAGCTCCGGTGATTTGGGCTGCGGGGGGAGGAGGAGGGGGACGGGAAGTTGGCATGAAAGGAAGGGGGGCTCTGGCAGTCCCCAGATGGCTTGGCTGGTCCTCAAGAATCCCCAAGGCCAGGAAGAAAGGCTGCAGCTCCCCAGGGCTGTGTTTTGTAGAGGGACCTTCATCAAGGAACCACATATTCCCCGAGATCTAATTGGGAAGAGTGGCCAGCTTGCCAAAGCCCTTCAACTGGTGCAGACACAGAGGCAGCCCCCCCCCTTCTCTTCCCTTCCCTTCCCCGCAGCTCCAGAGAACTGGCGGCTGACCAGACCCGCTGCAGTTGCTGGGATGTGCCGCTTGACGTCAGGAGAGCATCGGATTGCTTTGTCTTTGTCTTCCCTGGCGGCTCTGGTGGGAATGCGGAAGGCTTGGATTCTGGGCAGGGGTGGCCCCTGTCGCAGGCTGAGCCTTGAATCGGGGCTGGGCAAATCTCTTGCCTGGCCAGCTGCTAAGCCAAGTGCAGAGGGGCCTCCAGGGGTCAGCCCCTCTGTGGGGTAATAACACCCTCCTCCCTCCCTCTCCCCAATGGGCAGAAAGCAGAGGGAGAGGGGATGCCTGGTCTGTTCCCCCCCACCTGAGAAAGAGGATTTCTCTCTCTGGGAGGGGGGGGGGCTTCCAGCTGAAGAGGTTCCCCCCACCAACACTGGAATGCGGTGGGTGGGGGGAGCATAGGCAGCAGTTCCATCGATCTGAGCTGCCCAGGTGGATGGGATCTGATGCCAACATGCTTCCCTGCACTCTTGACCAGCAAAACGCCCCTCATCTTCTTGGCACGAAAGGGGCCAGCAGGGGCTCCCGAGGATCCCACCACCAGCAGCCCAGAGATTAAGGAAAGTGACCAGAATAGAAAATGGTCTCCTTTCCACCCAGCTCCTCCACTGCACAAGGCAGAGGTCAGATTCCTGCCAGCGGTGCCATCTCTGGGCCATTGGCGGCTTCTCTCGCCTGCCTGCCAGAGCTACGAGTAAGAAGGTGCCCGGTTCCCTTCCGGGATCCGGCTACCATCTCAGCTGCACAGCTGGTGGGCTCCATTCCCCAAAGGCCCAGGCTAAGGTTCTGCCTGCTGGCTGACAGGAAGACAGAGGCAGCTTCCAGGAACATCTGTTGGGAACGCTGAGCCGCTTTGCAAAGTGGTTCCGGAGGCTGATCGCTGGCCGGATCCTGCTTCTCTGAGTGGGTGGGGAACAGAGCCTTCCCTGGCCACTATTTACATTCAAGAAAACAGGAGTCAGACAAAGTTCATTGCTCCTTGCTTATGATTCACTCTTCTCTTCCGGGTTCCAGACAGCAAATGCAGCAGCAGAAACTTTTTTCTCAGCCCCGACTTGTCCTCTCCCTTCTGTTGCAGTGGTGGGATTCAGCCGGTTCGCACCCATTCGGGAGAACCGGTTGGTAACTTTCTAAGCAGTTTGGAGAACCGGTTGTTGGAAGAAATCTCATTTTGTTTTTTTCCCACTTTACAGGGCTAATCCTGTAAGGAAGGCCGGAAGGAAACATTCTGGTGTTGTTTCTAGCCTAATCTTGATTGCCCTGCTTACAGAAACTGCCTCTCCGGTTAACCCTTATTACCATTGTAACAGCTAAGGCGAAGCGTCCATCGACCTGAGTGACATTGACTTGGCCACGCCTACATGATCACATGACCACCGAGCCCTGCCTACCCAGCTGGTCATTAGGGCAGAGAATTTGTTGGAATATTATTTGAATCCCACCACTGGTATAAGCATAAATATGAACACAGTAAATGGGTATGAATAAATGGAGACAGTAGGTCAGGGATGGTAGTCACGCTGGTGCGCTTATGTATGATGTATCCCCTTTACAGACCTCTTAGGAATGGGGTGAGCTCCAGAAAAGATTTCCAGAGGGAAAATTGCAGACGACAGGAACCAGGAGCACCACTCAAGTGACCCTGAGGACACAGATAAACTTCCAAGTGGCCTCAACAACTCTCAATATGGATGCAAATGACCAGCTGTCTGCATTTATTCATA